CCTACTAATGTTGACACCTCTTCTTTGATGGCTGGGTTTTCATAATAGTCCAAAATATGTGAGTCTAAAGCATTGTTAGTGGAATCTTTTTTAACATCCCTCTCATCTAGTTTGTCTCCTTGCCCATTTTCAGTCTTCCCTTTATTTGAATTCTGATTAATCTTTTTGCGCTTTGTTTTTCTTTTCTTGAAACTGGTATTAATTTTCCATACTTTTAGAGGGTCTGACCATGGAAGTTTTCCAGCCAAGTCTTCAAAATCCTTTAAAACTTCTTCCTGTAAAGGACAGAAAGAAGCCCATTCATTTCTCACCACTTTAACTAGTAAATAAACTCCTACTTTGCTTATATACTCATCATTACACTGCAGGTAAGGCAGGTACAGAAAAAGAGAATAAATAATGCCCTCAACTAAGGAAATTCAAATCTCACTGATAAGATATACACATTAAGCTACTGAAGACTAATGAAAGACAGAATGGTAGGTCAGAAGTAGGGCTTCAATGGGTCAGCAGGTGGCGAGACGGCTAAACACACTGGATCCTGCTTGGCCGACTATGGTTTGACCAGGACCCAGCAGCTTTCACACTGAGCACATGTGCGAGCATGCCCAAAATCCCAACAGGAAAATGGAGAAGAGATTATGACATGGCCACCTCCCCTGGGAGGTGATTGCTCACTTTACCTCTTTGTCTCTCCAGAGAACACACACACCCTATGGCAAAAATCTGAAGGAGAAAAAAAAAAATCTGGGCATGTATGCGCACAATCTCAAGAAGAGAAGGAATTGCAGTGTGGTCATTCCCACTGGGGGATGCTTTCTCACTTTTCCTCTCTCTCTCCATCTTGCTATGGCAAGCATAAGCACCCTTTAACAAATTAAAAACAAGACAAAAAACCTTAGTTAAAAAGTTTATCCATTTTCTAACTAACCAAGGAGCATCTTTTTTTATTTTTAGAGCCAGAGAGTATTTGTGCTTGCCAGAGAGAGAGACAGAGAAAGCACACTCTAAAGGGGCATAATCATGCTACAATCTCTTCTCCATTTCTCCATCCTGCTGGAATTTGGGACATGTGGGAATACATGCCTAATACATCTTCCATGCCATCAGAGCCTAGATTTGAACTGGAGCTGGTCATATGGAATTTGGTTCTTTTAACTATTAGACACTGCTGGCCCAAGTGTCACCTCTTTAAGAAGTAAATTTAGTGATATGCCTCCCTTGCTTAAAGCTTAAAGCCTACAGTGGTACATGGCAAAAACTAAATTCCTTTAAAAGCCCAATATAATGAAACTCCTTCCTGTTTCTTTCTTTTTTTTTTTTTTAAAGAGAGGTATTTTATTGTAGGGCATGTGCGTTCAACGGACAGAGAAGAGAAACAGAAATGAGAAATCACCCCCTCCCAGGGGGGATGGCCATGCCATAATCCCTTCTCCTCCATTCTCCTCTCAGGATCTTGGATATGCAGGCACACACACCCAGCGTGAGTTTTAGGGTACTGGGTCTGGACTCAAACTATGGTCGATTACGTGGGAGTCCAGCAATATAACCATATGCCATCTCCTGGTCCCTTTTTAAATTTTTTTTCTGCCTGTTTCTCTTATGCCATTTCAGGACCATTCTCCCCCTCACTTCCTAGCTCTGTTTGTGAGGTATTTGTTTACTTCACAGGGTCTCTACACTGCTGGCTATTTTCTCATTACTTAGTAGAAATTTAAAAGGCATATCCTCTGAAAGGCCTACTCAAAATAGTCCTATCAAGTCATTGTTGATTTTCTTTTTTAAAAAAGAATTACTCATTTAATTTTATTTGCTATTATGTATTCTTCAATTTGACTGGAGAGAGACAGAGAAAGAGCAAGCCACCAGGTCTAAGACTTGAACTATGGCTGGCCCCAATTGTTTATTTTCTTTATGATGTTTAGTATTACCCAATGTTACTATGTTTAGGTATAGTTTACCATCAAGGCTCTTTCCAGAAGGTAACTGCAGGGTGGAAAGAACCTTATCTGCACTGACCACTGCGGGGATGGCCATCCCCTCTGAGGAGGAGGGGTGATTTCTCTTTTTCTTTCTCTCTATCTCTCTGTCTCTCTGGTGAGCACATATGACCTATGGCAAAAATCTCTCTAAAAAAAAAAAAAAAAAAAAAAAGTTCTTAAATAAACACACAAACAAAACAGCTAGTGGCTACTATGATGGACATGTAGACACACATTTCCATAGTAAGTTCTACTGCACAGCACTGGTACAGACAAATATGTGTTACCAAAACTGAAAGTAAAAAGATAACTCTGTTTACAAATAACTGTCCTATGAAAGGCCTCTAGAGGACTGGAAGGAATAAGATTGCACAATAACGCTGGCAAAGCATACTTTTCTTTCTTCAGGAATTATTCCAAAAGAAAGTAACAACAGGGGCCAGCAGGTGGCATGGTGAGGAAAGTGCTGGATTCCCACATGGCTGACAGTAGTTTGAATCTTGGACCAGGTGGCTTGAAGATCATGGCAAATAAGTAAATAAATACATAAATGTTTAAAAAAAAAAAAAGGCAGAAATACAATTCTATCTTAACTGAATCAGCACAATAGCTGTCAACCTTGAACTATAACATAATCTCCAAGTGCTGTGAAGGTCAGAGGAGCAGGAAGACATGCAGGGGGGAAGATGCCCAAAGATCTCAGACAAGGGGCAAAGCCCAGTCTGCAAAACAGGTAGCAAATAAAGTTTATTTGGAACAGCAGAGAAGCAGTACACAGACTGATGTAAAGAGCTTCCCTTGACCTTCGAACCAAGCAGCAACAGGGAAGGGAGATGGAGGCTGAACAAGGAAATCTCCTGGCTCTATTTGCTGGAAACAGTCTGTTTCTGAGGTAGGGTTGGGGGAAGAGATACTCGGCATTGTGAATAGCCCTGCAGCTGCTGGACCCTTAAGCCAAGGGAGAAGATAATAGAACTCATTCAATGGCATGGAAACTGTAACTCAATAAAGCTATATAAAGAAAAAAAAAGAACAACAACTCATTCACCCCACCCTTTGTCAGACCAGGGAGATTTCCGCTGGCCTGGAATATCTTTCTGGCTTCTCTCACCATGAAGCTCTTATAAAAAGCAAGTCCAAGGGATACACCCTCTTTCAAAGATAGGCAGTTATCAAAATTTATCAGCACATGACTTGTATTGAACATAATAAAAGGAAAAAGGAGGAAACATGGACTGAAAAACAAATAGGAGACAAAAACAGAGACCAGAAAAACTGCCACAGATCAGTTAAAAACCAATCAAACACAGTAACATGTCATCGAAAAATGTAATAAGGAAATGCTTTGGAAAGTAAGAGCACAAAGCAGAGGTATATTGATAAAAGCACAACGATAAAGTTAGTCACCCAAAGGAGATGGAGCAGAAGCCTCTAGTGTTCAAGAAAAAGGGGAACTAAAAATAAACTAAAAGATTGCAGACCATTTTGAAAAGACTATGTTGAAAATAGCATATAGGGAGCCAGCAGGTGGCATGGTGGTTAAGGACGTTGGACTCCCACATGGCCAACCGTGGTTAGAGTCCCGGACCTGGCAGGTTGCTTTCTCACTCTCTGCCTCCGCCTCCTTACCCCCACAACCCCAGTCCTTCTCTGGTCAAACTAAAAAATACATTAAAAAAATAAATAAAAGAAAAAAGAAAATCCAAAGCTTTCCTTTCAAGAAAAAACAAAAACCAAAAAAACAGCATATAGAAAAGATGTTACTGGGGCCGGCAGGTGGCATGATGGTGAAGGATGTTGGACTCCCACATGGGTGACTGCAGTTCAAGTCCTGGACCTGGCAGCTTGCTTTCTCACTACCCTTCATACCCCCCTCTTTTATGCTGCCTCTCTCTGGTCAAACTAAACTAAACAAATAAAGATAAAGAAAATAATTCTTTTTTTAAAAAATAAAGAAAAGACGTTATTGAAAACATAGTCAAGGACATGAAGCAAAGCAAAGCAAATCAGATGAAAATGGGCAAAATCTAAAAATAAAGAATTGGAGAGAAAGTGTTAACTATGAAAGATGTTGTCAAAAAAGAGCCTATAAATGTATATAACTGGTTTCTCTAAAGAAGGGGCTTAAAAGGATGAAATAAAAAATATTGTTTTTCAAGTAAATGAAGAGATCTTTCCAGAAGCATTAAGTATACTGATATCCTATCAAGGAATTATCACAATGACACATATTCTCATAAACTTACTAAACTTCAAAGATTGAAAAAAAATCATCTGGGGGCTAGCAGGTGACGTGGTGGTTAAGTTGCTGAACTCCCTCATGGCTGACCGTGGTTCAAGTCCTGGACCTTGCAGCTTTGCTTTCTCACTCTCCCTTTCTCTTTCTCTCTGTCTCTCTCTGGTCAAATTTAAAAATAAATAATCCTAACAAATGAAATAAAATAAATAATTCTTTTAAAAGAAAAGAATTTAAAAAATCACCTGGTCATCAAGTAGACTATTAAGACAGCAACATATGAGGGCAAGGGAAAAAACATCAGAATGGCCTGTGAGTTTCCCATGGCAACATTTAACAGCAGTAGAGAACAAACACTGTCCACAATATCATTTCATTCTTTTAATTATTTTTAATTGTCAGAGGGCATATGCACTCACCAGTGTGACAGAGGCAGATAAAAGAAGAAAACAAACCACATTCTCCTCTCTTTCTCCATCTGTCGGGATTTTGAATATGCATGCACATGCACCCAGAGTGTTTTGCGAACCACCAAAGCTAAGATTTGAACTCTGTAGTCAGCCATATGGGATCTAGCTCCTTTAATCACTAGGTCATGGGGCCAGCCCATGAAAATCTGTCTTAATCTTAGCTGCTCTTTTTTTGAAACGTCCACCAGGAAACTCTTCTGTAGTTGCTTATATATAAGGCAAATCTGAAAAGTTAGTTCATGTACAATCATTTCATAATAATTAAATTCATCCTAATTAGAGATACAAATCATCCCAAATAATACAAACTTTAGATGACAAAAATGTAAGAAGATAAAGAAAAATGAATAATTCCCTAGTAAGATAGAATCAAGAAGGCTGGGACCAACAATTGGTGTAATGGCTATGTTGCTGGACTCCCATGTAGTCAACCACAGTTCGAGTCCCAGACCCTGTAGATTAAACTCATGCCGGGTGCGTGTGCATGCGTGAACAAGATCCTGAGAGGAGAATGGAGAAGGGATTGTGGTGAAGCCATCTCCCCTGGGAGGTGATTTCTTGCTTTTTGTCTCTGTCTTTCTGGCAAGCACACAAGCCCTATAGCAAAAACCTCCCCTACCCCACCCCCCAAAAAAATATAGAATCAAGAAGATAAAAAAACAGGTTCTGTTTGTTTGTTTGTTTGAAGAGAGATTTTTGCTGTAAGGCACATGCCCTTGCCGGAGAGACAGAGACAGAGAGCAAGAAAGTAAGAACTCACCCCATAGGAGGATGGCTATGCCACAATCCCTCCCTCTGTATTTTCCTCTTGAGACTCTGGGCACATACGCACACCTGCCTGGCATGAGTTTTAAGCCACCGGGTCCAGCTCTTGAACTGTGGTTGACAACCTGGAAGTCCAGCAATGTAACCATTACACCATCTGCTGGTCCCAATAGGAACTGTTTTTTTAAAAATGCCTGCTAGCATTTACTGATACACAGAATTGGCTACTAAACTTTCAAAATATTTAGTAAAACTTAATAGACTGCCTGGTATTTGTCCCATGGATATGATTCAGTTGGTAATGACTATCAGAAATCTTAAGGGTTGTAATCCTAGTGTTGAAGGTTGTATCTTTAGTTAGCAAAATCTTATCTATATATAGTCTAAATTTTTAGTCTGATTTTAGTTTTTCTAGGCTGTTGGTTCATATCGCTTTTATTGGTTTTTGAATGTTCTAGAAATCAACCTGCTGCCAATAAATAACAATTACGGAATTAGGCAGTATATCAGAGGTGTTTTAAAAACAATTATTTCTGGAGCCAATAGGTGGCATAGTGATTCAAGTGCTGGATTCCCACATGGCTGACTGCGGTCTGAGTCTGACCTGGCAGTTTGCTTTCTCACTTTACTGCATGTGCCTTATAGCGAATTTAAAAATTACAATAAATAAAATAATTCTTAAAAAAAAAATTGACTCTGGAAACTTGACCAAAATGCAGTGCTGAAGAAACCTAAAGCCATACTGCAAGCTATTTTCAACATTCAGCTTGGGCAATAGCTGAATATTTAGGACTCAGACGCTAAATGCACGTTGGAGACAAAGCTGTTGTCCTAACAACTGAAGGAGTATTTAAATATTACTTTGGCTTTATTTCAAAAAAATGAAGTTAGAGGAAAAAGTAGAGCAAACTCAGATTGGTAAGGAAGTGTTATTTGTAGATGACACAGTCACTTGTTCTTTGGTTCACGTTCAGGGAACAATTCTATTTTGGAACCATACGCGTTTTAGCAAAGCTAATCTAAGCTTTAGATCTTTTGAATAAAAATCTGGGACCAGCCGTTAGTGTAATGGCTATGTCGCTGCACTCCCATGGAGTCGACCACGGTTCTAGTCCCGAACGCGGTAGCTTAAACTCACGCCGAGTGTGTGTGTGTACGTGCCCAAGATCCCGAAATGAAGGAGAAGGAACTGTGGTGTGGCCATCCCCCCTGGGGAGTGATTTCTCGCTTTCTGTCTCTCTGTCTTTCATTTTCTGGCAAGCACACACACCCTGTAGCAAAAACCTCTCAAAAAAAAAAAAAAAAAAAAAAAAAAAACCCTCTAAAAAAAAAAAAAAAAAAAAAAAAAGATAAGATCTTTTGTATAAAAATCAAACAATTGGCTTTGTTTCTCATGAATGTTGATGTTTTCCAATACTGCTTTTTGTTTTGTTTTGTGTTCTTTTAATTGCTAGAGAGCACGTGTACTCTCCAGACACAGAAAGAGGAGAGAAAGCATCCCTTACCCCCAACAGGGCATGGTCATGCCACAATCCCTTTTCCATTTCTCCATTTATTGAGATTCGGGGCACGCACGCACATACAGCCAGCATGCTTTCATGCACTCAGAACTGGGATCCAAATGGTGGTCAGCCTCGTGAGCACCAGCTTCCTTAACCACTAGGCCATGAGCTAGCCCTCCAATATTGATTTTTTTTTTTTTTTTAGTTTGCTATAAGGTACCTGCGCTTGCCAGAGGTACAGAAAAACACAGAGAGAAAGTGAGAAATCATCCCCCCCAAGGAGGATGGCCATGCCACAATCCCTTCCTCTCCATTCTCTCTCTCTCTCTCTTTTTTTTTGGAGAGATTTTTTGCTATAGGGTGCATGTGCTTGCCAGAAAGACAGAGACAGAAAGCGAGAAATCGCCCCCCAGGGAGGATGGCCACGCCACAATCCCTTCTTCTCCATTCTCTTGTTGGGATCTTGGGCACACACGCATGCATGCCTGGCGTGAGTTTAAGCCACTGGGTCCAGGACTCAAACTATGGTCAGCTACATGGGAGCCCAGTAATGTAGCCATAACGCCATCTGCTGGTCCCCCACTTTCCTCTCCATTCTTGTCACAGGATTTGGGCATGCACAGACATGCGATCAAAGTTATTTTCAAGCTGCCAGGTCCAGGACTCAAATTGTGCAGGCAGCCATATGGGATCCAGTGCCTCAATGTACATGTCATCTGCTGCCCTTCTAATACTGTTTACTTTCTTTTTAAGGTTTTTGCTATAGGGTATGTGTGCTCCGAGAGAGAGAGAAAGAGAGAGAGAGAGAAATCACCCTCTAGTGGGGATGGCAACACTGCATCCCTTCTCCTCCGTTCTCCTTGTGGGATTTTGGGCATGTACGCACACGCATCTGGTGTGTTTCTCAAGCTGCCGGGTCCAGGACTCCAACTATGGAGTCAGGTATGTGGGATCTAGCACTTTAACTACCACACGATCTGCTGAACTTCCAATACTAATTTTTATTTTCTTTTTTATTGGTTTCTGTCACAGGGCAAGTGCCAGAGAGAGACAAAGATAGACATGGAGACAGAGAAAATGAGAAATCACACCCCGCCCTGATGAGATGGCCACGCTACAATCTTGTCTCCTCCATTCTCCTCGGGATTTTGGGCACGCAAGCACTCATGCCAAACATTTTTTTTTTATTATTTCATTTTCTTTTATACATTCAATCACATTATTATTTGGCTTACACCAACATGATTTTTAAGCCTCCAGGTCCAGGACTCAAACTACAATAGGCCATTTGGGAATCCAGCACCTTAATCACCATGCCACCTGCCGGCCACACCAATATTGATTTATAAAAACAACTTTTGGGGTGGACTGCCAGAAAAAAAACTCTAGATTTTATTGTAAAAGCCTTCTTGTATCCTCTATTATAAAACAAGAGTAATGCCAAGTGACAGACAAATGTAAAAAGTGCAAATTTCTTCAGAGAAGACGGCTGAAAATCAGCCACAATGCTTGGGGTGGCTCACCTTTGTTTTTTTGAATTGGTAATCTTTGAACTCCTGAACCACCACAAATAAGTTATCAACTGATCTCAGACAATGAACCTGGAGAGAAAAGAAAATGATACAAATTTTTCAAAAAGCTTTTGGTGAACAGAATCCATCAATAAATACATATATATAAAGTACAATGATTTTAAAGCAGCCAGTACCTATATTTTGCATTTTTAATTTCTTTATTCTTAAAGAATTATTTATTTAATTTTATTTATTCATTCATTTATTTTAATTTGACCAGAGAGAAACGGGGGGGGGGGGGGGGGGGGGGGGGGGGGGGGGC